GGTGTTTTGCACTACTTAACACTTGTGTTTAGAAATGGGGTCCAACCTTTCATCTTGGTTAATGTCAAGTTGTCAAAACAAAGACATTTTGAATAATGTCAACTTTGTATTAAAAGTGTCATAATTTACCGAATGTTACTTTATGACAACAGTCATAAATATTCATGAAGACTTATTGATGTTCATGACAGTGTCATGTCAGTCTTATTTACACCCCTTCAAACAAAGTGTTACCATATTTTATTTTCATTTATTTATTTTCAACTGGTTTAAATAACAAGCTGAACAGAGAATCCATCATATATTAATGTAATAGTTTTAATTACATGTAATTATAATTAATTATGCTTTAATTACATGTTGTTGATTTCGGACTGGTTCCACTCGCCGCTTACAGACGATGAACTGAAACCCGATCCACTTCAGCGTCTGGAATCTGAGAGAAATCCAGCTTTCCGGGTTTTGGTCTCTGGGATTACGAACGCCTCATCAGACACACTTTATATATCGGGAACATTTCTCCAGTCGAAGCCATCAGAAGTTGCTGAATCTCTGATTTCCTATTGGCGTTTCGCTCCACTGGGTGAAAACCCGACAGGACGCTTTGGGTCGAACCGGGCCGGGGGAGCCGTTTGGACCGGAGTAGAACCAGACCCGCCGACTCAGCAGAACTATTCACACCTTCATGAAACATTCAGGCAGCAGCTGCTCTGATTAATTAGTGATGCAGCAGCCCAGTCAAAGGCCCGGTTTTGTCTGCGGCCCGGTCCACTCTCTAAAGATCAACGGGGTAGTTTCCTGGTGCTGACCTGGTTCTGCTTCTCTAACAGAAGCCCAGCTTCTCGGTTCAGAACCGCTCTGACTGGATTAGAGCTTATCTGTGGAGAACTCAGACGGTTCTGATGGGTTCTGGTGAAACTGGACCGAATCCTCCATCCTGTCCTCCATCATCCATCATGTCCTCCATCCTGTCCTCCATCCTGTCCTCCATCCTGTCCTCCATCATCCATCCTGTCCTCCATCCTGTCCTCTGTCAGAATGAATTATTAACGAGTTTCCAGTGTCTCCTCGTCTCATCGATTTGCCACAAAAAGCTCCACCTTCATCCTCCTCTTCCTCAGGCAGAACCAGCAGAACCGCTCTGAAAGACAAAACCTGGTCCAGTCCAGGTTTTCCTCCTGACCCAGACCAGCAGAAGGAAAACATCCAACTGTTCCCCCTGCAGGCCACCAGGGGGCTCCTGTAGAAGGAAAACATTCCATGCTTATTTAATCAACCTGCTGGGGTCAGAGTTCATCCTGTAGGCGCTCTGCTGGTGGCCTGAGGGGCCAGCAGGGGGCGCCAGCTATCAACAGGATGCTTTGGAGTCCTCTGACTTGATCCGATGCTCTGCAGGAACAGAACCGCTTATTAGTTCATCTCTTGGTTCTCCTCTGACCCTGATGGGTCCTTGAAGATCTAGAGTTATAGATCTAGAGGCAGCTTCAGTTCTTCCAGCTGGAAACCAGAGATCAGGCTGACCTCTGACCTCTGACCTGACCCTTCAGCGCCACATAAAGACGTTTCAAAGTGGTCCTTCTACCAGCTGCTGAACATTTCAGGATCAGTGGACTAATGTCTCAGCCAAGCAACATGTTCTGGTCTGCAGAACCAGAACCAAACATGGACAAGCAGCATTCAGCTTCTTTGCACCACAAATCTGGAACCAACTTCCAGAAAACTGAAAAACTGTCGAAACCCTGAGCTCCTTTAAGGCTAGGCCTGGTTAGCCTGGAGCTAACACTTCCTGTCCCTTCATCAGACAAATGCTGGGACCGGGACTCGGTCGGGTCTTCAGGACTCGAGTCATTATTTAATAGTTGATGATGAGGAGCTGATTGTGAGGAAGATCTTTAGAGAATGATTTTTCTTTAAAGGAAACAAAGTTTTTAAGTCTTTGGATCTGTGACTGTCGAGTGTGTGTGTGTGTGTGTGTGTGTGTGTGTGTGTAGAGGGAGGAAGAGAAAGTAAAAGGCTAAAAGAGCAGGAATGACAACGGAGAGTAGAGAGAAATCAGTGAGAGAGTGAGAGAAGAGTGGAGGGAGGGTCGAGCAAGCGAATGGAGGAGGAGGAGCGTGAGGAAGAGGAGGATGACAGGAGATGTGGTTGTTGCCGCGGCAGCAGAGCAGGACAGCTCACAGGCGGCACAACTACTCCTCCTCTTTCTGTTTTTATTCTTCCTCTTCCTGCTGCTTTCACCTGGAGGAGCTGCTTCCTCTTCCTCCTCTTCATCAGCCTGACCAGCGGTAAGTAGGATGGAAACTGCTCCAGATTCACTGCTGAGAATAGAAAGACAAGAGGAGGAGGAGGAGGAGCGGGACGGGACGACTGGGAGGAAGAGTTTGGAGACAAACTCAACTTCCAGAGAGACGATGAGCAAAAATCACCAACTGTGTGTGTTACTGTGTGTGTGTGTTACAGTGTGTGTGTTACTGTGTGTGTTTTACAGTGTGTTACTGTGTGTGTGTTGCCTGATGTTGATGTAATCCACGTGATGAATTAGTGATGAACTTCTGCTTTTAAACGCCTCACACACACAGACACACTCTGTGCTCATTAATATTCACACTCTTGGAGCTCTTGTCCAATCAGAAGTCAGCCTGAATGTTTCCTGTGGAGGAACCTGACTGACCCGGATGGACTGGTTTCTGCGTTGGGTTGAAGGTTGAAGCCAGTTAGTTAAACCGTCTCTGTTATTTATGGAACCAGGGAGGCCATTTTGAAAAATAAGAAATTATCAGTAAATGTGATTTTTACATGTTCAGTTATGTATGATTTAACACCCAAAGTATTTATGTGAGATAAATATTAGCAAATTTAGTATGAAAATAACATTTCCTGGATGACCATGGCAGACATTTTGAAAAATGGCCGCCATGTTGACTTTTCCAGAGGCTAACATTGTTTTTCAAAAAGCAGTCTGTGCCAAGAAACATTATCATATCCACATCAGATTTAATTGTCTCCCGTAGAAACATTTCCACTCTGGTGATCCAAAGGTTGTGGTTCTGGTTCTGTAGCGCCTGATACCACTGCTCCTAACGAAGAATGATCTAAAAATAAACTGATATCGATCTCAGTGTTTGGGCGTCAGGACAGGGAAGCAAATTAAAACCCAAACTGTACCAGAAAAGCAGAACCGGGCTCAGGAGTTGGTCAGAACTGAAACCCTTTGAGGTTCTGCAGGGTCCAGCGCCCCCTAGGCAGGTAGCCGGGTCATCAGCAGGGCGGGGCGGTCTGGGTGTGTTGGACCTGGTCTGTGTATCCGTCAGGAAGCGGGTTTGGATCATGTTTCCTCTCCATCCTGTCTGTGACCTGCTGGTTATTTTGCTCTGTCTGGTTTCTGCCTCCTGAAGCTGCAGCAGCTCATCCTGCTCTGGTTTCCATCTGAAGCTTCTGGTTCTCCATGTTCGGACCTGAGTGTGTCTCTGACCCGCTGCAGCCTCAGGTTGCTGCCAGAGGAACGGCCTCGATCCGTTCAACCACCCAGTTGGGTTCTGATCCGATCAGAACCCAGACAGCAGAGCGTCTGAGTTTAACCGTGTTCCTCCAGGAGAAGCTGCTGCAGCCTCAGGTTCTGCCTCCTCTCCCTCGGTTCTCCTGCAGTAAATTGCGGCTCGCTGAAGCTCGGCTAATGGTTTCACTCCAGCAGCGCCGCTCTCCCTCTGGGTGTGGCCGGGCTCAGATATCTGTCTGGATCAGAACCAGGCTCCGGATCAGACGGACACGCTGTTGGTGTGAAGCTGAGGAAGACTATCTTCCTGCTGAAGCATCAGCAGCTGTGACCTCTGAGGGTCTGGAAGCTTCCAGGGATTAATGTTTAATTACAGATTTATTGTAAAGCAGCAGGTATCCCAGGTTGATTCCAGGTTTATTCCCAGGCTAGGGCCTTTACTCCAGATATTTCAGGAGAACTGGAACATCTGGACCTGGAATGACCTCTGGACAGAGGAATTGATCGGTATTGGAAACGTTTTCCAGGTATTGATCTGATCACATCAGAACTGGTTCCTGATCCGCGGGTCGCTCTGTTCTCTGGACCTCAACTTACACAGTTTCACCGGGTAAAAGGTCCCCGCCCCTTTCTCCAGACAGAGGGACTTGGCCCCGCCCCTTTCTCCAGACATAGGGACTTAGCCCCGCCCCTTTCTCCAGAGGGACTTAGCCCCGCCCCTTCAGTTCTGCCTGTGACGGTCTCCTGAAGCTGCTGCAGCAGCTCATCCTGCAAACAGCTGCTGATGAGGAAAGCTTTTTGAATTTTGCCAGTTTAAATATTTGAGTAATTAAAATCATTTTCTGTTTATTTATTTTCCTGTTTTCTTTCCTCTTCGTGGATTTTGGTTCTTTCATTCTTCCTGATTTATTTAATCTGTTTTTATTCTAAGACTGTCCACCGGTCAGATTTCCGTCTTCCCTCAGCTGCTCTTCTGTTTCCTGCCTGAACCTCCAGGCTTCCCTGTCCTCCGGGTTTCCGTGGTTTTCCCTCCTGCTTTGCGTCTGACTCCGGCTCTGATGTGTTTGTGTTTCCTGACAGGACGGCCTTACATGGACACGCAGCGGAGCGCCTCCTCCAGCCTTCGTTTGGGGGACGGAGAGACGGAGCCGAGGACGGCAGATCCGTGAGCACTGCATCCTCATCATCCTCATCATCATCCTTTAATAAGAGTGGCGCAGGAGGCGGAGACGCTCTTCATCACTCCTGGATTTATTTGCTCTTCTTCCACATCCCTGCAGAAATAAACAACAATATTAAACTTTATTATTGTTTGACTCGACGGCTTCAGCTTTAATAAAGAGCCTGTTGGATGAAATCACGTCGTTTTCACCCTGAGGAGCTGAAAACAGGAAGTTCACCTGCCAGGTCTTCCTGCTCCTTCTGAACCTTTTTCATGGCTTGACTCCTTCCTGACCTCTGACTCCTCCCTCCCCACTCAACATGTCCAACCCACTCGCCTCTTGCTGCCCAGACAACACCAGGAAGTCAGATCAGGTGGAGCAGTGAGCCCTGCTTTAACTAGGCCTCCCACCTTTAGCCATTAGCCCCGCTCCCTGACGCCTCTAGACTCTCGTGAAACGCTCTGATGCAAGATGGCAGCTGGCGTAGCCACGTGGCTGCCGTTTGCGCGGGCGGCGGCGGTGGGCTGGCTGCCGCTGGCCAAGAAGACGATGCCCAAACCTCCGGTGGACAACTCATCCCGATCCGACGAGATCCTGTACGTCAACGTGAGCGGCGTCCGCTTCCAGGTGGGTGCTGCCGTCTACTGAGCATGCTCCAGCTGATGAAAATATTCTGCATAGTAACTCCAAACTGTTGGCTCTGCCAGGCAGGAGTCATGGAGCAGAGATGTTTCCTGTCAAGAAGCTGCAAACTCAGCTTTTGGTTTCAGCTCTGAAAAATCAGCTGATAAAACAGAAACATGTGAAACAGCTGACCTGAACCATCGTGAATTCATCCTGGGAAGGTCAGAAAAACTGGAGTCTGACTCAAGAAACTGGTTCCCTCTCAGTAGTTCAGTCTGAACAAGTCCCAGGAAAACCTACAAACTGGTTCCAGCTCGTTGGTACCGGGGTGGCGCCAGATATGAACCAATCTGCAGTCGGCCTCCATCTTCAGGACTAAATGTTTCTCATGAGACTCTGACAGACGTAGTTCTTTTCTCCAACTCGTTTCTGTGGCCAGCTGGCTTAAAGAAAGACAAACGGTCCATTTCCTTTCAGTCCAGGGAACCTTTGGGTCTGCTGAGTCACAGCAGGTCCAATCAGTCCGTCCAATCAGCCGGTCCGTCCAATCAGCCGCTCCGTCCAGTCAGCCGGTCCGTCCAGTCAGCCGGTCCGTCCAATCAGTCCGTCCAATCAGTCCGTCCAATCAGCCGGTCCGTCCAATCAGTCCGTCCAATCAGCCGCTCCGTCCAGTCAGCTGGTCCGTCCAGTCAGCTGGTCCGTCCAGTCAGCCGGTCCGTCCAATCAGCCGGTCCGTCCAATCAGTCCGTCCAGTCAGCAACATCAACAGGTTTAAAGACATTGACGCCAAAGTATCCATTAGTTCCTCATTCATTCTCTG